CCAAGAAGAAGTGCCAGAAGGCGAGTAAGGCCCGTTTGCATGAGACCAAGATCTGCGAGGCCATGGAATGTGGTGGGGACATCGAGAACCAAGGTGGTGGCGGTGAACCTGAGGAGGAACAGGCCGGTGGTGATGAAGGAGGATCCGCCGAGAAGAGGTCCCTTTTCCGGAACTTCGAGAGCTACAGTCAGCATCGAGAGGACTACATACCACCGGTTTGCGGAGTCACACCCTGGTCGGATTTCTCTCCCTGCATGGGACCCTGCGGTGGACACGGCAAGCGTCAACGCATTCGCAAGGTGTGGAACAACAACCAGGTGTATGGGGTAACCGATCCCAACGATGATGGCCAGGATCCCTGTCGGCACATAAAGCTGCAGGAGGAGGTGAACTGCACAAATCCCAGCTGCGACACCATTGTACCAAGTTTCTGCTACGACGAGCTGGTCGACAGTCCCTGTCGGGATAGCGATGTGGCCAACTTCTGGTACTACGATCATGTGAGCGACCAGTGCGCCATCTATTGGTCGGATCGCTGCGACAAGAATCTCAACAAGTTCAAATCGAAGGAGGAGTGCGAGGAGACATGTCGGCTACCGCGACACAAACAGGAGCTCCAGCACGATGGAGCACAGCCCATTGATTGCATGGTCTCCGACTGGGTGTCCTATAGTTGCAACGCCTCCTGCGGCGATGGGTTCCAATTGCGGACGCGTCGGGTGGTTAGGACCCCGAAGTACGGTGGAAAACCCTGTCCCAAGCACCTGGTGCGCTTGGATCGGTGCTACCAGCGGTGCGATGACATGTACTCCATAAGTGGCCGAGGATTCGGAGAGCGGAGACATGTGATGAAGGTTCCGCAGCCGGAGCTAAGGGACGAGTGCCGCTACTCGGAGTGGTCCGCCTGGACGCCCTGCACGGCCAGCTGTGGCGACAATGCCGTTCGCCAGCGGACCCGCACCCTATTAAACACCGATCTGAGCTTCAAGTGCAAGGATCGCGTCCGCATGGAGAAGTGTGTGATGATGCCGTGCCTCCTGAGTAGCAACGATGAACCCGAGCGGTGGTGAGAATCGACTACCCTCAGCTGTAACAAGTATTAGATGTACACCAATTATGTAATCATTATCGAGGGTATCATTAAATATACGAAACCATGGTCTATTAGTTTCCTCAGTCTTGGTGTTTTTATCAAAAACCATAAGCCGATTTTCACTTCTCATCAACAAAATACATAAAAATAGTATTTTTCACATCAGTTTGTCCTTGACCCAGATCAATTGAATAGCTGTGAGCAGTTTCCGAGTGATTTTCGCCGGGTTGCAAGTTCAAAGAACCCGGGCACAGAGCGTCAATTGAAGAGCGTGCCATAAAAACGAACCATTCCTAATTGATGGCAACTCAATCAAGATGGAAGAAGCAGGGGATAATTGATAAATTGAAATGCTCATCGATGGAGACGGCGAGTCAACAATTTCGGTCAGTCATCGTTGAGCTTTGAATAAATTCGGATCGCGAAAAGATGTTTCGTCTTTTCTTGCTCCTGATTCTCCTGGTTGTTAAGGTGAGGGGAGCCTGCTATAGAGTTCCTCAGGGAGCCTCCGGCGATCGTTCGCCTGTGGATGATAACTTTAAGATCCTAATCGATGGCAATCCAGCGACCTATGTGCCAGAGCATCAGTACAATGGTGAGAGGTTCAAAAGTTCCATTACAAGTTACTTCTATGTCTATGGTCATCTCTAGTTTCATTATCGTGCCCCATAAACCTAAAGTTCGTGAGCTTCACTTTGGTTGTAGAGGCCGAAGATCCATCGGCCGCCGGTGATCAGGATATGACTGGTCACTTTGAACTGCTGGGCACCACGGACACCCGTTTCAGTACCGATTGTGAGAACATGGTGGAGAGTACGAATACAAATGCCAAGATCCACATCGAGGTGTCCTGGATAGCACCACGACATCCCGATAGCGGTTGTGTGCTGATCAAGGCGGGGGTGGTCCAACATCGTGATGTGTGGTTTTTGGACGATGGCTTCTTGACCAAGCGGATTTGTCCCGAGGAAATTGACGAGCTAAACAGCATGACGCCGCCCTTAGAGAATTGCTGCGCCTGTGATGAAGCCAAATATGAGGTGGTCAAATTTTAAATAGTCTTTCTGATCTTTACTGGAATACCTTTTCTGTCCAGATCGTTCTGGAGCGCAAGTGGGCCAGGAACACACATTCCAAGGACTTTCCCGCTGAGGCCTGGCGCACACGTTTGGGTGAGATAATTGGAGCCTCCCATACCCATGGTTATCGCTACTGGGCCTATGGAGGAAGAGCTAGTCAGGGGCTGAAGGAGATGGCCGAGCATGGAGCCACCCGCACCCTGGAGAATGAGATCAGGGAGAACACTCAAGTAGGTATCCTGGTTTTTTTTATCTAAGATCGCTGAATACCAGTTTATCCAACAGAATGGCGAAGTGAGGACTATTATTAAGGCACCTGGCATTCCCCACCGCTTGAAATCCTTCGGCACCACTCTGGCAAATGCTCGTTTGGATCCTGTACACCATCAGATCTCCCTGGCATCCAAGATAGATCCCTCGCCCGATTGGATACTGGGTGTGGCAGGACTGGAGCTTTGTCTCAGCAACTGCACATGGCTGGAACGGAAGGTGTTGAATCTATATCCATGGGACATAGGCACCGATTCGGGTCCTTCTTATATGGTAGGTCATGGAATTATAAGTAAAGATTTTGTATAACCCTCTCAAAGTCCGCAGATCAGCCACAGGTGCCACCGGATGTGGTGCGGCGTATAACATCATCGTATCCCAGTGACTATCGTTCACCATTTTATGATGACACAGGTGCCTCCATGAAACCCTTGGCCACACTTTATCTAACCCGAAAGAAACTTTACATCCGGGAGTGCGAAGAGGGTAAGTACGATGTTCCACTTTTCAATTTTATATAACTAACCTTTGATAATCTGTGCAATTAGTTTCCCAGGAAAGTCCTTTGGAGTGCGCAGTACATCCCTGGAACGAATGGACCAATTGCAGCACACGATGTGGTGGGGGTTACTCCCAACGTCAGCGTAGCTATAAGAATCCCAGCCTAGCAGCCAATTTTAACTGCGATAGCAGCTTGGAGGAGGTGCGTCAATGTCAGGGAACCCAGTGTGGAGCAGCGGAGGAGGAGTTGGAAGGTGAGGAGCCTGGCTTGGGCGTGGAGAATCAACCAGGAGGTGGCTCAATAGCCGAGTGCCAGCTGAGCAACTGGGGTGAATGGTCGCCCTGCTCGAAGACATGTGGCCGAGGATCCTCCACTCGCACCCGTGATTACTACAATCCGCAAGCCAGACAGCGTTGTTTGTCAGTCATGCGACTGCCCTTGGAGGAAACTCGGCAGTGCATGGGGTCGGATTGTGGTGGCACCATTCCCGACAACGGCGAACTAGATGCTCTACCGGAACCAGATGTCTTCGGCGAGCGAGATCAGGGAGGCTATGGTGGTAGTAAGATACCACTTTGGAACAACAGACAGGATAATAGCAATTTAGGATCCGGCAACCAGGCGTGGAATAGAAAGGGTTACAATACGGGGAACGATAGATCCTCTTACAATCCCAGAGACAACTCGCAGGAGTCTCCAAACTCACCCTTCGACCAGATAGAAAATCAGCAGCGCCCCGTTTACAACCCATCAGATAATGTGGGTGGTTACAACAAGGGATTTCCTCCTTCAAACAGCTACAGCAATGATAAGCTTGTGGGCAACAAACCCGGTTACAATGATTTAAATCAGGGCTATAAGAATACGTATAATGAATACACTACCCCTAGCTACAGACCGGTATTTACGACTCGCTCTCCCTATGGTGGTCGATATCCCAACCGGCAGCAGGATGCGGAGGATGTTCCACCCTCCAGTGACAATAACGCCATTTATAATGTGGTTCAAGATTACTGTTTTGAGAAACCCTATGCATCGACACGCCCATGTCTGGCCACTCCAGTGGTGGTGAGCAACTTTTGGTTCTACGACCACGAAGATCACGAGTGCAAGATCTTCACCACAGACAACTGCGATGATAATAGGAACCGCTTCCGTACCCTAATGGCCTGCGAGGGCACCTGTCTGCAGCCACAAATCGACATGGAGCGATCTGAAAACGATGCCATGGTTCTGTATGGAGGTAGGTCCTATGACCAAACGCAATCGGGAGGTAGATCTTATGATCAATTGGGACGTAGGACGGGAAGCTATGATCAAACGGGAGGTAGATCCTATGATCAAATAGGAGGTAGAACGGAAAGCTACGATCAAACAGGTGGTAGATCCTACGATCAAACGGGAGGTAGAACGGGAAGTTATGATCAAACGGGAGGTAGATCCTATGATCAACCGTTAGATAGGTCTTATGATCTAGCAAAAGGTAGACTCTCTAACCGACTAAAAGGTTCCTCTTATGCTCAAACGGGAGGTGGATCCTATGACACAGCCGATGGAGGAGCTTACGATTCTCAATTTGTTGATGCAGCAGGAGATATTGGAGAACCCATGTCGCAGACCAAAAGCAGATACGAAACATCAAGACGTGGTCGTTACGGTGGCTGAATGGATAATATAACATTAATAAATTAATAATTAATTAATAATTTAAGAAAGCAATTCTTGAACTTGCACTTTTTTATCACACTTTTCTTTTATGTATAGTTAAAGACATCTCAAGATAACTTTTTGAGTTGTGTTCTCTCTTAAACAGTCTTTAAGAGTTCTGATCACTACTTTTCCGGCTTTCCGGTGTTGTCGGCTGATAAGAGCTTCGACGCACTCTATTTGTATCAGTGGGTCAGAAAAATACTACACTCCAACCTTATCAGCTTTCAAGTCTCTCTTCTCTTCTTTTGGCAAAGCAGTACTTCGGAATGGAATCTCCGCTCAGTTTGCAACAGTCGTTCGAGTCGAATGGTTCTATGCGTTAACAAAGCTACTAAAAAAAACACACATGTGGTGGCCAAGTGGTGCTCCTCTCGTGGAGCTTCTTATACTGGCGTCGCTGGTGATCGGCAGAGTCGGCTGCCTGATCTGTACGCGCCGCCCGGCCAATACGGCCTCGCCCAAATCTCCGGTGGATGAGAACTTTGTGATAAGCGTAATGGGCAATCCGGAAACGTACATTCTCGGCCAGGAATACAACGGTGAGAACGAGTTCATTGGCCTTGCGCTTGAACTTGGTGGAAGCGTGAATGGATGGGCCTATCGAGGCTTAGTTACGAGATTTCGCAATGTTTTTTGTTTAGTAAACAAAAGTGGGGCTTATCTGGGACTTTTGCGAATTGGTTGGAATTCAAGGTCGGCGATAAGGGCCCGGCTTTCAGTTTTCTTGTGTATTCTGGAACTCAAAGTGATTCTCCCTTAGTCTCTCTCAATGCATTCAATGGCCACCGCTACATCAGCTTTATCATGGCCCTGGAGAATGAGAATGGTGACTTTAGCTACAAGGACGACTTGGGTCGCTTTGAGCTGGCCGATCTGATCGAGACCCGCTTCAGTCCCAACTGCATCAACATGGTGGAGAACACCAATACGAACCCCAAGACGCATATGCACCTGACCTGGGTGGCGCCCAGTGAGCCGGGAAGCGGTTGCATCCTGATCCGGGCCACCGTTCAGCAGCATCGCGATGTGTGGCACATGGACGATGGAGGACTAACGCGTCGCATCTGCGAGGAGGTCACCGATGATGTGGAGAGTCAACCAACTGTTCCTGCGGTGGATGTTCCTTGCTGCGCATGCGATGAGGCCCGATATGAGGTGAGCTAGTTGGAGATCTAACAAAGTTCCAGTTACCCTTTGGTTTTTTGCACGTGCAGCTTATATTTGAAGGCGTCTGGTCTCGGAATCTGCATCCCAGAAACTTTCCTGCTCGAGGTTGGGAGACTCGTTTCTGTGAACTTCTCGGAGCGGCCCACAGTTCGGATTATCGCTTCTGGGAATCTGGAGCACTTGCCAGTTTGGCCATGAAGCAGTACGCCGAACACTGCAGTTCTCGTCTTTTGGAGCGAGAGTTTAGCATCAATTTTCGGGTAACTAAAAAAACGTTTTCCGTTGAAAAATCACTCTTAGTTATGGCTTATCCCTCACAGGATCAGAAAATACGCACTATTATCAAGGCTAGGGGACCATCGTATCCCAATATGAGCAGCAAGACGATGGCTTCGGTGAGAGTGGATCCTCTGCATCACATGGTGTCCTTTGCCTCCAAGATAGAACCCTCTCCGGATTGGATTGTGGGCGTGTCTGGACTGGAACTGTGCCTGCGCAACTGCACTTGGCTGGAGGAGAAGGTCATTAATCTGTATCCATGGGATGTGGGCACAGATGCGGGTCCCACCTATACGGTAGATGGTTATAGATAGTGCTTGATGATAGCATATTACCATTGGTTTTCTATTTGATAGTCAGCTGATCAGCCCCAAGTTCCGCCAGATGTCATTAGACGTATGCGTTCCGACTTTCCCAACGATCCACGGTCACCTTTCTACGATGAATCTGGGGCTCCCATGAAAGCCATGGCCATTTTAACAGTGAAGCGTCAGCGAATATATGAGAGAAGATGTGCGGATGAGGATTGTATGTGGGGTTTTAATCGGTAAAAAGCTTAAATAATCGTAACCTATTCTTTTACCCAGCCAACAATGATGAGGATGTGCCTAGGGAGTGTCTCACCCATCCTTGGTCCACCTGGAGCGACTGCTCCTCAAAATGTGGCGCTGGCATGCAGTACAGAAGACGTGTCTACAAGCAGCCGGAACTTGCCAGGATCTACAATTGCAATGTGCAGCAGTATGAGGAACGTGAGTGCCAAGGAGAGATGTGTGGTCAAAGTGGGCCCATGAGGGAGCCAGAGGAGTTTGAGGATCTGGAGCCAGATCCCAGGAGGAATGGCTATCAATCGGCCCAACAGCGACGTGCCGAGTGTCAATTGGGTTCCTGGGGCAGCTGGAGTCCCTGCAGCGTCACCTGTGGCGATGGTTACGAGATGCGTCAGAGGCAGTACCTCAATCCCCAAGCGGAATCGGAGTGCCAGAGTGTCCATCGCATGGATCTCCAGGAAACGCGAAAATGTTCCGGCAGAGCTTGTCTGGGCAATTTACCGGGATCCTATAATTCCGACATGGATGATCCCTATGGACGCACTGGAGGTAATATGTATGGACCTCCAATTGAGCAGGAGACAGAGAACTTTGGAGACTACGAGGAGCCCCGAAATGGACCAGCTGGTGGCTTCGAGGTGGGGAACCTTAAAGGAAACAATGGCAACTGGGCAGTTAACAGGATGCCAGAGCGGCAGACGAATTTGGGAAGAGTTCCTCCGTCCTTTAAGCAGTCAAACTTCGACCGAGGCTACGATCCCCCCGCCAGGACAGAGCGACCCACTTGGCCTGGGCAACCACGTTCCAGTGATCCGCGCTTGGAGGATGTGGAAAGGTCTCCCTGGCAGCGTCAACGGCCCTCCAGCAAGTACGGCTCAATCCTGGATGCCCCAGAAGTTGATTCGCCTAGGCAGCCATGGCAAAGGACACAAACTAAGTACGGCAATCAGGGCATCTATGCACCTGAAGGTGATATGGACTCATCGCTGTCCAACCGCTGTTTCCAAATGGTCCAGACAACGCAACCCCGTTGCCAGGATCAAACGGTTACGGGCCAGTTCTGGTTCTACAACTTCTGTGCGGATGAGTGCATGTTGTTCGCAACGGATCAGTGCGATCGCAATTTGAACAAGTTCAGTCGATGGGAGGATTGTGAGAGGTGTCGCCAGCCGGAAATGGGTGCACTGCTGCAGGAGCACTCCAATTCGCCGGAGTGCCAGAATCTTCGAGAAATTTGGCAGACGGAGGAGCGGGCCAGGGAGGAGAAGCGTGCTTCGAACAGGAGGCGCAACTACGGCGGTTACAGGCAACGGGCTAGAAATTAATCATACTTCCTAAAATTAGTAATAACTTACCTATGAAGGAAATAATTTCTTTATAAAACTAAAAAACGCAAAAGACTTTTGTCGTCTTTGTCAATACAGTCATTTTGCTTTATACTACTATAACATGGGTTTGATGGTTTCTTAAGGAGCAAAACATGAAATTACCAACGGAATGTTCCCAAATTGCTTAAAAAGAAATGATCCATACTAAGTAGTAGCCTGTGGGGCATGCTGAATCATGTATCAATACACACAATGCCTTGAACTACTGGTAAATTTCGAATTGAAACCACACACAATGCCGCCATACTTTCAAAAATCCGATAGTCACAGCCGTTGCGAGTTTGTATTATCGATAGCCCCCAGCTGATTTTACATAAGTTGGCAACGCTGTTTGGACATCGTTGGCAAAGCGGGCGGCCCGTGTTAGCTAATGAAGGTTTAAAACAAAAACAAAGTCTAGAAACTAAACTTCTTAAACCAATTGTGTTGTGTGTTCATATATGTACTTATAGAACAAACATGCAACATTTGAGATTTGTAATAAAACAGGCTGCAGCAGCTGTCGCCCAGCAGCAACACTTGCGCCCATTGTCAATCCATTGGAATTTGGCCCAGAACCAAAAGCCGGTGGGTGGAAATCCAGGTGCACCCAAGCCCAGAGACACCCGGGGCCCCAAGCCGTCTGCCCAGAAGATCACCCTCATCCAGCAGAATCAGTCGATGAGCATAACCACCTTGGAGGAGGCCCAGAAATTGGCCAAAAGGAGGGATCTGCACCTGTTGCGCTTGGAGCAAACGGATGCCAAAACAGGAAGAGCAATGTTCAAGTGAGTATACCGTCCTCAAATCAAAGTCATCGCTGTGATGCTTACACATCTATATATTACAGACTAGTCACTGCTGCCGAAATGCTGTCGGATGATGCAGATCAGTCGAAATCCTCGTCCGATAAAGCCAAGGAAAAGAAGTCCGAGAAGTCCCTTACCATTGGTGCCCGCATCACAGAGCATGATCTCTCCTCAAGGCTCAAGAACATTGTCAAGTGGCTGGCCAAGCGGCACGAGGTACGCATCCTCATTCAGGGCAATTCCAGTGGATCCGATGAAAGCAGCTCCGAGCGCATCGTCAAAGCCATCGAACAGACCATCAAGGAGCCACAGTTGATTGGCAGAATAGTTCAAAAGCGCAGCAAGAGCAGCTTCATTAAGTTCAGCATTATCCCAGTTGCTGCACCACCTGTCGCCGCTGATAAACCCAATGCAGTCCAGTCCTGACAACTACCGCCGTTGCCTCGGATGAGCCATGATAACGGCACGGTAATAGCAAAGCCTCAGAACTTCGCCTTTCAAATGTCTGCCCGCCATTTTTCTGATGGGATCAAAAAGGAACATGAAAAGCCCGTCGAGATAAGTACCGCTTCCATCATCACAACTGGTGCTATTTTTCTTTTGTTTTTCTTTAAATATTTCTACTGGCATCAGCATTTTATGAAACTCAAGAAGGAACAAGAACAAGAAGCCCAAAGAAAGAACACAAAAAAAAGGAAAGATCTTCCTGACCACCTTGATCAAAACCTGAACAACAACGATTAGTGCTTTAAAACCTGTTTTAATAACTGTTAATTGGCTCAAAATTATACCATTATCATAAATAAAACACCATCAAATCGTATTTGTATTTTCTATCCATATTTTGAAGTAAAAACCTCTATTTGTTAGGTCCTGATTTATTTCGTATATTGATTTTTTATAAAGTGACTTGTATAGGTGCCATTGGTTTAGTTCGTATTCCTTTATATATCATTAATAATTTGTATATATATTTTAAGCACACGTAGACAATAAATTATTACACTTTCTCCATTCTAACATTAATATCTATATTTAATTATGTTTAAAAAGCAGATTATGACTCAACTAAAGTTTTCTATTTATTACAAGAGCAAGTAAAGCTTATTTGGTGTCATTTAGAGCAGCTAGAAAAATAACAAAATTCTGTATTGGAAATTAATAACTTGAATCTTGGGTGTGTGGAAAGAATTATGTTTATTTTAAGTTGAATTGTTATCAGAAGCAAAAGCATACGATTATAGCAGTGAATTTCTCGGGTTTCTATACAGGAATTTAAAAAGTTAAATTAAAATAATAAATAATGAATTAAAAATACGGCACAAGGAACATTTTGAGTCACAGATTACAAAAATAAATACAATAATTGTTTAATAATTTAGTCTTCAACTAAAATACAAACACTTTGTGCTTACGCTTTTGTTTTGGAGAGCTCTATAAATTAATAAATTAGGAAAAGCAATTAAAAATCAATGCTAAAAGCCGATAACAAATCAGTTAAAAGGAACTCACGCTACATCGTTACAACTGATAAGCCTCATTTTTGGGTGGTTCGCCTCGACAAAAAAATCGAAAGACGTGGGGAACCGATAAGCAGACAATAAAGTAAAGGGAATTCATTATACATTGATTTTTTCACAAAGACTTTTGGAATGAAATATGCACTAAATAAATTAACTACAATAAATGCCAAAGCGTGTGAGCTACGGTTTCGCTGCTGTTTGGTTTGGTTTCCACATACTGACCTACACGCGCTGGATCTCAAAAAGCTTGACCTCCGTATCGTACCATATGGCGGGCTCCACGTTGCGCAGATATATGACTCCCCAGATGTAGGTGCGGAACCATGCCGTGGTCCCCGCATTGGCCTGGTACTTCCGGATGAGAATTGGATGCGGCACGGGCAGCAATCCCACCAAGGTTCCGTGCTGCAGAAACTTGAGGATTTCCGATTCATCAGTCAGTCCCTTGTCAATGCAAATCTTCTCCACCTGGGGCACCAGGACCTGCAGTAGTCTCATGATGGTCTGCAGTGGCAGCTTTGAGCGCCAGGAGACGATCCACTCGGGCGTTGGTGCCCAACGATCGCCCTCGCCCGGCACCATGCGGATGCTGCTTCTGTGCGCCACCGAGAAACGCGACAGCTCTGTGGGTGAGGTGGACTTACGATCGCCAGTTGGTGTCGAAGCAGCTGACCTGTCATAGGGCACAATATCCGTAGAATCCTCCGCCTGCGGCTTATCGTTTGGATGTGCCGGCTCCCGCTCCGTCATTTGACTGATGGCCGGGGTGTCCAGCAAGGAAGTTTTCAGTGTTCCCGGCTCAGCTGGTTGGGCCGTTAGAACATCCGGCTGCTGCTCCCCCGACTGAGATCGCTCATGTGACTCTGTCTCAGACTCGAGATCCTCTTCCGCCTTGGGCTCTTCATTAATTGTGTCCTCCTCGTCATCATCCTCATCTTCATCGTTGTACTCTTCGGGTACATGGGCCGAAGGCAGCTCCTGGGAAATGGTTGCGGTTTTCCTTTGCGGTACGCGCGGCAAATTGAACTTTCCACCTGTCTTACGACCACTCAGGCACTTCGCTATACCAGCCATATCGGTTGGGAGATTTGCCATAGCATGGAACACATGACGTTTTCGTATAATTGTGTAGACTAGATTCGAGTTTCCATCGAATTGATACTGTATAATGTTGTTGAAGATCTCCAGCAGGAAAAATACCAAGTGATGATTACTAGGTGCCGATAGCAGAAACCAAGGTGTGCTGAAGGCCTCCAGGAGATGCAACAGCTTCACACTGGCCACCATGGATAGGGTTTTCAGATAAGGCGAAACATTCACAAGAATGGTCAGCAGGCAATCGAAAAGCGGCTGCAGTCGCTGATGGCCAGTGGCTATTATTTTGTGAAACACCGTGATAAGTAAGTCGGCATGGGTTCCAGTAAACACGGGTATATCCATCGGCACGGTGGCGGAGTAAGCCTTGTTTAGGCGAACTCCAAAATTTCTCTCTCCTATCAATGAGTTTAAAAATAAGTAAACTGCTTCCATACAAAACAAATATGACTCACCCGATAGTAGCAACAGTATGAACACTCCAATGTGCATCAACCCCACACGAGATTGGTCGGCTCGGGAGTAGTTCAGATGATACAATATGGGAATTAGGATATCCAGGACATCGGAGCTCTTTAGAACGAAATACAGAAACTTCTTGTTGTAGTCGCATATTTTCCAGAACAAAATGAGCAGCTCCTGGTGGCAGTGCAGCCGCTTCGTGGAGTTGGGCAAGTAATTTTGGACCAGGGGGTTGTTCAGCAGCCGGGTTATGCCCTTAAGCACGAAGTGGAAGTCCTCATCCCGGTGAACTCGTGACAGATAGTTAATGAACAAGTTGTCTCCGCTGTTGCCTTCGTCGTAGGATGCCTGGCCGGGTTGGGTGAGCTGCTGCTGCACCACCATGTCGTGGTCCAAGGTAACAATAAGCAGTTGGAGGCACGCTTCAACCAAAGGCTCTGTGGTATCCGCAAATAACAGATGATTGTAGGGCACTCCGAATCCCACGGGATCGTAAGAGCACACAGTGTTTAGGAACGACGTGAACAAGGGCAGGGCATGCCGATTGTCGGCGGAGGTGAAGTAGGCTATCCACTTGTTGGGCTCCTCGGACTGCTGCGGGGATCGGTACATGGGCTCCGAGAAGCAGGTGAGCAATAGTTTCAGCAACTCCGTGCGCCTGCGCTCCATGTGGGCGTTGTGGGGAGGCGACTGGGCAAAGCCCACGCCCGCCTCCCAAATGTACTCACAGCTATCGATATTGGCCAGCTCCTCAGCTTTCTCCGGACCCGTGCGCCGCGTGGCCGTGACCGTGAAGTCCGGACAGAAGAGCAGATCGCAGGTGGCATTCAGTAGCGATTGGGCCAGCGGCATGGTCTTCTCTTGCGAGGGCAGGCTGCTCCAGAAGAAGTCACGCCACTTGTCGTCCTCGAAGATGTAGGGCAGGCACCGGATGAGCAGACGGACACAGTTCAGGACGCACTGCTGCTCCGCCTGAGTGCGACAGCTGCTGTCCACCGCCTGGGCCAACTTCTCCACCGCCTTGTAGCACAAAGTGGCCAGATTGGCCGGGTTCTCGTTCCGGATCTGGCGAATCTCGCTCGAGGTGACCAACGCGAACACATCCTCCAGCGTCGTCTGGTGGCCCTGCCAGAACTGCTCCCAGAACTGCTCATCGCTGGGGTCGATCTTCTGGTTCTTCTGCGTCAGCTGCACAATCGCCTTTCGAAAGTTCAACTTGGAATCCGTGTTTCCCATATTGTTCGGGTTGTGGCCTGCTTTGGTATCGCTGAGTCCCTTGAATCCACCTGCCCCGTTCTCGGTAGCCTCAGTGGAAGTGTCCGCAGTGGTCTAAAACAAGAGCCCTTGGCATTTAGTACGCTTCTGTTAAGAAAGTGGAAAAATTAGAAATTCGCCTACGCACTACCAACAAATCGCCAGTGTAACTTAGAGGTGGGAGCAGCACTCACGACTAGATGTGGGAGCGTGCTTTTTTGATATTCACCTGTTTCGGCTTTAATGATGTTTTATTTTATTTCGCAATCTTTAATGTTTTTTTCTATTTTTTAAGTGTGTTAAATTAAATAATAGGGTAATAGGGTAACTGTCTATACTTCGACAAATTTTTTTAAACAGCAATAAGGTAATCAAGTTTTTCGGTTCTAAAAACATGATTAATTTTGTTATAAAATACTACCTGCCTACAATTAAAAGTAAAGAGCTTCTGCAGAGATGACAACATAGTACAGAGTTTCCATGATATTTTTTATGAGATATGTTATACACCCTGCTTTTAACGTTTTAAAATGTGGTACATTTTTGACAGTGGCATTTGTACGGAACAACTGACAAACTGCTGAACAAAATTCAGCGATTCTGTAATTCAGCCTTGGCTTTGATAAGCCATTTTAAAACTCCATTTCAATAAAATAATTAGAATTGCTTAAAATATGTAGAAATCAATTAAGGATGACTTTTGTTCGTGTAGGCTGCCTAATTTGATTGTTTTATCTACTGGTCTAGTTTTGAGAAAGACGTATACAACTGTATACAGCCAAGCTGAAGGTAAGGAGTACCGAAAAATGAAAAGAAAAATTACCCTAAAAACAATTTGGGTACACTATAAAATATTCTCTTTCAAGAACTGTTTTTAAGCTTTCGAAATCATCGCATCGAGTTGGCATGGACGGCAGTGCCAGTGCTGCAAAGCGACCCACTGCCGCGCCGGTGTTGAAAGACGTTCGTGCAAAATATTCGGGCTGCACAGAAGAACATCAACGACACGTAAACGTCACCAAAAACTAGCAGCAAATCAGTTCATTAAATTAGGATTAGGGCGATATGTGTAACTAGGGAGTGCGCCGCGATACGTCCGAGGCTGCGTGAGAGTGCGACTGCGAGTGGGCAAGTGGCGATTGCCGAAACATATGCGAAGGTCGACGGCGAGAAGGAGCTGCCCTGCCCCACATAAACTGAAATTTTTTGCGCTAGCGCTGGAAGCCAACTAGCTGCCGTCAAAGAGCCTTAACGGAGCACCCGGGCACAATGGCGCTGCCGGGCAATGGCATCTACGTGGTGCGGGGCGAGATGGCCACCCTGATGACGGCCATGCGACGTGGAACGCGCTGGAATGCCACCGCCTACGTGGTAACTACGAGTTCTAATGCCTATTGACAGTACAAGTAATAGCTTCTTATGCCTCACTTAGGACGACGAGAAGGACTCGCTGCTGAAGTTGTTCATTGACCTCAAACAGGAGCTGAATAGCATCGAGGATCTGCGTCTGATCGAACCACAGGTCTTTCTGGCTCCGTTTCTGGAGGTGATTCGCACGGCGGACACTACGGGTCCGTTGACTAGTCTGGCCCTGGCCTCGGTTAACAAATTCTTGTCATATGGTCTGATAGGTGAGTCAAGTTTACCAACTTTCCTTCTCCAGTTGCTCATATATCCATCCATCCACAGATCCCACATCTCCAAATCTTGCTGACATTGTGGAGCGCATTGCCGATGCCGTGACACATGCCCGCTTCATGGGCACCGATCAGTCTTCGGATAGTGTCACCTTTATGCGTGTTATTGAGGTGCTGCACACCCTCATCCGGAGTCCCGAGGGAGCTGCCGTCAGCAATGAGTCCATGTGCGAGGTGATGCTCAGCTGCTTCAAGATCTGCTTTGAGCCCCGGCTGAGTGAACTGCTCCGTCGCTCGGCTGAACAGTCGCTCAAGGATATGGTGCTGCTGTTTTTCATGCGTTTGCCCCAGTTCGCAGAGGAGCGAAGTGACACCATGCTTCAGAAGCGCTTCACCATCGGTGATGCTGCCAGCGGAGCTACTCAAGAAAAGCTCAAGCGAAAGGCTGTGGCGCCGGCACCAGCTGTCCCCAGAAAATCCTCAACAGTAGAGGAACCTCCACAGACACCGCAATCTGCCAACCTGGCAGTTCCGGGCCATCTGAAGGCACCCATACTGGCCACCACACCCGCCAGTCCAGCGGGAAACATTCTGGACATGCAGGGCAAGATCACGCAGACACCAACCACAACTGCGAGCTCCGGGGAAGAGGAAATATCTGCCCCAGATGCACCTGTCATTCAAGTGGACTCGCCCGATTCGGAGCCTTTGTTGGACGGCGAAGCGGGTGAAGGAACCAGCACCCTGGCTGAGGCCAACAGCAGCGAGTACATCAATTCGGTGGGCGTTCGTTTTACACAACAATCGACCGATCAGGATGCCGCTTCTCTTTCGCCCTACGGCCTGCCCTTCATCCAGGAGTTGTTCCGCTTCCTCATAATACTCTGCAACCCTCTGGATAAGCAGAACTCGGATAGCATGATGCACACTGGTCTGAGCCTGCTCACAGTAGCTTTTGAAGTGGCAGCCGATAACATTGGAAAGTATGAGGGCTTACTAGAGCTGGTAAAAGATGATTTGTGTAGGAATTTGATTTCGGTAAGAGACCATACCCTTCTTCATTAATTATTCTGGTACTAACTCTTGGTGTTTATTTCAGCTCCTCAGCTCAGAGCGCCTTAGCATCTTTGCTGCCGATCTGCAGCTCTGCTTTCTGCTCTTCGAGTCCCTTCGCGGACATCTGAAGTTCCAGCTAGAAGGTTACCTCAGAAAACTGAGTGAAATCATTGCGAGCGACAATCCCAAGACGCCCTACGAAATGCGTGAACTGGCTCTGGACAATCTTCTGCAGTTGTGGCGCATCCCCGGCTTCGTCACCGAATTGTACATCAACTACGACTGCGATTTGTACTGCACGGATATGTTTGAGAGTCTGACAAACCTATTGAGCAAATACACGCTGTCAGCGACCAATGCGGTTTATAGCACCCACATCATCTCGATGGATACGCTTATAAGTGTGATTGACAGCATTGAGCGGAATTGTGCGGCAGCCAAGAACAGCAACAACAGGGAGTCGTTGCCGGAAGCTGTTCCAATAACCGGTGGAAGTCGCCATTCACGACACAGCAGCGGATTAGAGGGAATCGTTATCGATTCTGGCAATGGAGGGGCTGAAGAGGAGCCTGTGGAGAACATAGCCAGTTTTATAAACGCTAGCTCACAACGATTGCGATTGCAATCTGCCGGAGATGGAGTGGGTATAACCACTGAACAGCTTGCCAACGTCAAACAAAAAAAGCGCCTGCTGTCCCAGGGCACTGAACGCTTCAATCAGCGTCCAGAGAAGGGCATCCAGTACCTCCAAGAGCACGGCATCCTAAATGCCGAGCTTGACCCCATGCAGGTCGCGCTGTTCCTTCGCGAGAACCCCGGCCTTGATAAGAAAATGATTGGCGAATACATCTCGAAAAAGAAGAACGTTGACTCCAAAATTCTTATTAATTTTGTGGACTCGTTCGATTTCACTGGACTTCGAGTGGACCAAGCACTGCGTCTTTACCTGGAGACGTTCCGATTGCCTGGAGAAGCTCCGTTGATCTTCCTTGTGCTCGAACATTTCTCTGATCATTGGCATGTAAGTATTGCTATCAAAATACTTGGGGACTTCGAAAATAATTATTTATTTATCCCTCAATTAAGACACAAAACAAGGACCCTTTTGCCAATGTAGATGCGGCCTTCCGATTGGCCTATGCTATCATCATGTTGAACATGGATCAGCACAACTCCAATGCCAAGCGTCTGAATGTTCCAATGACGCTAGAAGATTTCACAAAGAATTTGCGTGGTCTGAATGGCGGCGAAGATTTTGATCAGGAAATGTTGGCCCAAGTCTTCAATGCCATTAAGTAAGCTTTATTGCGTGTTATTTGTCTCCAATTACTAACTTGCTTATGTCAATCTATTCAAGGAACGAAGAGATCGTAATGCCAGCTGAGCAAACAGGCTTGGTGCGTGAAAACTATCAGTGGAAAGTACTGCTTCGTCGAGGCGCCACATATGATGGCCATTTCCGCTATGTCCATGATGCGTCCTATGACGTTGAGATCTTCAATATTGTGTGGGGCGCTTCTCTCAGCGCTCTTAGTTTTATGTTTGATAAAAGCACTGAATCGGGCTACCAAAAAACTCTTGCAGGTGGGTGAACAAATTTTATTTGATCTTTCGTTTCTTACTTAACAAATTCGTTGCAGGTTTCAGCAAATCCGCTGCTATATCGGCGCACTACAATCTACATTCGGACTTCGATGCCCTCGTATTGACTCTATGCAAATTCACAACTCTGCTTAGCAGCGTAGAACAGCATGAGCCCGCTCCGGCAAACAATGAAATTCAGCAAGCTGTGAACTTTGGATTGAATGGCAAAGCTCAGGCGGCAATGAGAACGGTGTTCTTATTGGTTCATGACTATGGCGACTGCTTAAGGGAGAGCTGGAAGCACATACTGGACCTATATCTCCAGCTTTTCCGCCTTAAACTGCTTCCGAAATCATTGATCGAAGTGGAAGACTTTTGTGAGGCGAACGGAAAGGCGATGTTGATCCTGGAAAAGCCTCGTGAAAAGCAGGAATCTGGTCTTTTCTCCAGCCTGTACTCTTTCATCAGCTCAGAGGGTCAGCGAGAGCCAACCTATGAGGAGCAGGACTTCATAAAGCTGGGAAGGAAGTGCATCAAGGAATGCCAGTTGGACCAAATGCTTCAGGAATCAAAGTTTGTGCAAACAGAGTCGCTGCAGGAGTTGCTTAAATGTGTTCTGGGTCTACTCAAGGCGCCTCAGGGACACAAATCAATAGGACTACCATATGCCGAAGATCAAACTGTATTTTGGATGGAGTTTCTTGTAAAGATTGTGGTTCACAACCGGGATCGCATGATCCCGCTGTGGCCAGCGGTGCGAGACCAGATGTACCTCCTCCTCATGGGAAGTGCCTCCTGTGGCTATGATTACCTGCTCAACCGTTGCATTGTAGCAGTCCTGAAACTGGCCATCTATCTCATGCGAAACGAGGAGCTGTGTCCGATTGTCCTGCAGTCCCTCAAGATGCTATTGATGCTTAAGCCAGCGCTGCTACTGCGCATCTCGAAACAGATTTCTATTGGTATCTACGAACTGCTGAAGACCTCAGCCCAAAATATTCATTCCGAGCAGGATTGGCAGATTATATTCAATCTGCTTGAGTGCGTGGGAGCCGGAGCTGTGCCGCCCAGCTATGATGATGCACAGCTTCCATTACCGCCGAATGGCAGCGCTAAGTCCGATGGCGCTCTAAGTGGCGAGGAGGACTCATCCACTGTACCGGAGCGTGGTTACACCTCTGATTCGGAGCTCACCAAGGCATCTGCAGCACCTGCTGCCCCCAGTCCCAGTGCCGAGAATTGGATTCTGGTAAACAACAAGGACAGTGAGCTGACTACTGCATCCAGGTGAGTTTTACTTGATCTAAGAAAAATTTGTTTAAAATTCTACTAATACGACCTACTTTTTTCGCAGACCCCAGTCTCCACCAAGCTCGAGTTCTCCTCCAGTTAATACGCTTGTCTACAGTTGCCAGCTATTGGATCACGCACCCTTTGCCCTGTTCAAGTGCTGGGACTCGCTGGCCTTCATCGTACGGAGTGTTGCCCATATTACGCCATACAATTTTGAAGCCTGCGTCCGCTGCATCCGCATCTTTGTAGAGGCTTGTCGGGATGGAGGGATTCGGCAACGCAGAAAGCTGGAGTCTGCAGCGAAACAGAGAAGTTCTAAGAAGCGCAGCGAACGCAAGCCAGGCACGGCTTCTTCCACCTCAAGTAGCAATCTTACTCTTCTGACCGGCGACCCGGCCGACAACCAGGGACAAGGAAATGCGGCAGAGCAGGAGGATCTGGCCCAGCGTTACGAACAGTTGTCCATTCAGCTGCTGGACCTAATGTATACGTTGTACACGCGGACTGCGCAGATCTTCCGCTGGTGGGCGGAGGAGGGATGCACAGTGCCTCAGTCGGCAGCTTTGTGGTCACCAGGCTGGTGTCCATTGCTGCAGGGCATCGCCAGGTTAGCTATGGATCGGCGGCGAGAAGTGCGCACCCATGCCATCTCGTGCCTGCAGCAGCGGGCATTGCTGGTGCACGATCTGCAGACGTTGTCCGGAACAGAGTGGTGCTCTTGCTTCCACCAGGTTCTGTTTCCCCTCTTGAACGAACTGCTGCCGGAAAGCAGTGCAGCCGGGCAGCTGGATGCTTCCCTTCTTGAGGAGTCGCGTATTCGGACGGCCACTATCATGTCCAAGGTGTTCCTGCAACATCTGACCACGCTCATTGAACTTGGAAACGCCTTCAACGAGCTTTGGCTGGATATATTGGACTACATTGAACGCTTTATGAAGGTGGGATCGGATACGCTGTCGGAACAGATGCAGGAGATCCTGAAGAACATGCTGCTGGTGATGCACTCGGTGCGAGTGTTCCACAACCAGGATGGCAGTCTCCAACAAGCTCTTTGGGAGCTCACCTGGCGGCGGATCGGTGAATTTCTGCCAAACCTGAAGGAGGAGCTCTTCCACGATGAAGGTGCGTGACGCGGTCGATGTTGAACGCGACTAACCTCTACCCCTACCAGCAGATTTAATTTCTCCAGCGATCTCGCTGGACTTTACGCAAATTAGATACGGCCCTTCTCTGGGCACAATCGAGCAATCCTTGACCTTGCCGCTGTACGGTTATAGTTCCAAGGTTTCCCCTTCGGCCACGGCCAAAAGTGAGACCCTTCCAGCCAAGCAGCGCAAGAAACCCTGGGCCAAGTTCAGATCCAAGCTGAAGGTGCTCAAGGGACTTGGCAAGAAGAATTGAATAGTTCTCGATTTTCATTTAACTTCCTCATTTAGATTTCTGTCTTTCTATTTTTATACAAATTAAATAGTTATGGAGCCCATGTATATGCTTAATCTTGCAGGCAAGCGTGCTCAGACCCTAACGAACCCAGCTCCTATGGCAGCTGTAGTTCCAACTCCACAGCAGCAGGTGCCAGCGGTGGCCATTTTACCCAACCAAGTCCAGATATCTAACGAGTTAATAGTGAGTGCACCCACTCCCCTCGCAGTTACGCCCGTGGAATCGCCGAGGAGGAGTATTATTCTGCAGCCACCCATGGCAGATGCACTGCAGCAGCCTCCCAGCTTTGTATTTGCTCAGGTGGGTTTTAATAAAATAAATTTAATATGCAGCTTAGTTTAATATTCCATTTATGTTACAGCCGCTGATTGTTCCACCTCAGCAGCCAGCTGCTACGGATTCGCAGCACAGCACATTGCTGCCGGATCTGGTGAATGAGGCCACTGCTGCTGCTGTGCAGGCTACGTCCTCGTCGCCGACGCACAGCTCACAAGAAGCAATCCCTTCGGTTCCAATTGTGCCACAGACGAACCTCGTATCCACCAATAATACGTACAATAGCTACGCTATTGAGGTGCCCATGGCATCGGAACCCACTGCGGAACAGTTGGAGCAACAACTGCTCTACCAACAGTACTATCAGCAGTATCAGGCCCAGCAGCAACAGTTGGCCGCTCAAACTAGCGATCCTGCCATCAATGTGCCAATTAGCCATCTGCTGGCCGGAAATGCTTACCCCTCGCTCCCTAAAATGCCGCAGGCATCTATTGTGCACAGCTTTGCACCCGTTTATGAGACCCAGGCGGCGACAAGTGGAAATGAGCCTACATCCGACATCTATCAGGAGTATGTGCAAAATCCCTACAACCTAACGTTGCAGCAGAATGCGCAGCAGCAGCAACCACAACACCAGCAAGGCCCAGGACTGGCCACTGCATTTCCCGCCGTTGCCACGCCAGCCAACTACTTTAATGTAAATGTGGATCCCAGTAGCATACCACCCGGATCGGAGCTGCTATATGGCCAGCAGTGAACAGGAGTGTTGTTGAAATAGAGTTTCAAGCCACCTGACCGTTTTATTTTGTACCCTGTGTTGTAGAGAAGGGCTATCTTTGTAGTTAATAATATAAAATTGTGTCAATTTGTTTCTTGTTATTTATGAATCCCCCAACTAAAGTGGAACTACATTCCGCAGAGGCGCGTGTTTATTATGCTAACTGATGAACAACACTAAATCACAGATCCAGATGCAATTTCCAGCAGAAAACCCTATAAGCTTTAGTAATGCAAATAGTTTAATTTATAATATTGAAATAATTATATCTTCTGTATGTTACGCGAAGAGGCAAGTTGTAAATAATCAAAATTAAAAATCTATAAAACAAATGCAAAGGTTTTTCCAAAAGGGAAGTTATGGATTGTGCAACATCTTCGACGATGGTAAAAAGGCGCTTGGGCAGCCAATAAAACGTAAAAAAAGATTACCCGACTCCGTGACAATGCATATTGCAGCATTGCCGTGACCAGGATTCGAACCTGGGTTACCACGGCCACAACGTGGGGTCCTAACCACTAGACGATCACGGCTACGTCGGGTTGTTGAACGGGGCTTTCCAAAAACCCAGCTGGTCACCTATTGGTCTACTTTGGTTAACAAAAAGAATTGCATCTTGCAAGATCTTTATTAAAATCTATAGTAACCTAACCTAAAGTACTTTAAAAGCAAACGATGTCTTAATTTATGCTGAGCGGTATATTCACAGATTTTGCAATAATCTGTTTAAACAAAAATTAAAAAATTTGTGTTATTTAAAAATAAATTAAAAAAAAAAACCCAATTCCGTGACAATGTTTGTTTCAACATTGCCGTGACCAGGATTCGAACCTGGGTTACCACGGCCACAACGTGGGGTCCTAACCACTAGACGATCACGGCTACATCGGGTGATGTTGGAGGGCTGCCAAATGCATCTTTTGAAATAAACCAGTTGCGGCTTCAACCATAAAAATCCGGAGTGACTATAAATAGCGTAGATTGTAAAAAAGATTTGTTTTATTTATTACTTCTTTTAAAATCTAATCTTTGACACCGACTTTAAATGTAGATGTATTTTTTAGTTTAGTATAAAAAAATTAGATTGCGTCTTGTAATTCAAAAGAAAATATGATTAATCGTTAGACAATTCCATGCTCGGATGCCTTTCACTGGGCGTGTCGAGTGCCTCTCACTTTTAGAGCTGTGGTTAAACCTTCATACATCGATTTTTCGTACAAGTTTATTAGAAAGGGGAACAATTTTAATTTCAATACAGATATGTTATAAATTTCGGTAAAGTGTCATTAAACTCAATCCAAAAATATTTTCTGATCGAGGATTCCTTCTAAAGATTCGTTTTTTTTTCTCCCATAAAATTTAAAAAAAATTACATATTTTTAAAACACATCAGGTCTTCAAGCTTTGATTTCCCCAAACATATTTTTTTGTGGGCAGAAATTGGTTTGAGTAATGAAAGCTTGACTGTATTATTTATACTCATAAATTAAAAAAAAAACCCGTTTCCGTGACAATGTTTATTTCAACATTGCCGTGACCAGGATTCGAACCTGGGTTACCACGGCCACAACGTGGGGTCCTAACCACTAGACGATCACGGCTACAACGGGGTGTTGACAGAGGCCGGCCAGAAACCAAATCTAAGCTACAGTGTTGCAGAACGACCCATTTAACTAATTTCTTAAAATTGTTAAAGTTGCGGTGTTTAAGAACATGTTTTTTAACGATTTCCAATCTAAGTTCAATTAAATCTAAACAATGTTGGTGCATATATTGTAAGAGCTAATATATAACGAATCGAACACCAGATGGCGCCAGCTTTACATTCCGTTAATCAACACTTTTCGGTCGTTAACGAGCACAGGATTTCCCCAGCTGTTTTTTTCAAGAGCAATACAAAACATGAGCAGCTATAAGGCCATTGAAATTGATTCCGATTCGAGTGAGGTTGACGAGACAATGCCTCCGAAACGCTGCGGGTCACCCCCAAGAAGTGCCGGCGCAAAAGCTAAGATGGGCAACGAACACACCCCTAAATCAGCCAAGGTCGCTAGAACGGAACCGGATTCGACGTCTCCATCCTCCTCGGACATGACAAACACCTCGCCCGGCACTGCCGCAGATGGATCTGGTAAATCAGGTCGCAACAGGGCAAGGAAGAGCCAGCAAGGCGCCAGACGCATCAGTCCTGACCTCCAGTTTGAGTCGGTTGCTGTGGATGGGGGTGGAGGCGGTGGTGCGTCTGAAGCCCCCAAGAAACCCAAATTGGAGAAGGATCCTGAGGACGCGAAGGATAGGGTGGACAAGGCTATTAAAGACTTTGTAAAGACCGATGAGATGCAGGAGCTCATCAAGCAGATCGCCAACGAGCGGGTGCGCTGCAATTTCCTGTTGGCAACCTACCAACTGCCGGACATGAACTTCACCCTCAACACATCCCTGGATACGCTATGCATTCAGTTCCGGGAGCGCCTCAAGCAGCGCCGGGATCGGGGGAACCCCACCTCGTCGACTGCAGCTCCAAGCACCTCCGCCAGTAGCCATAAGGGACCCACAAAAGCAGTTCCAAAATCACAAAAGCCTACATCTTAAATCAGCTGTTATGTATTTCATATATAGCTTGTGATTTGTATTAAGCAAATATCACTGAAAATCTAGGAATAAATCTTAGCATTAATAGCATTTAAAAAGGTTGATTTAAATTTAGCATTAAGAAAACACAGAACACGAAAATAAAGGATTAATGAGGAATTTAAAGATATGACAAAAAATACCCTGTTAAACTTAAGGCACATATACACAGTAGTAACAGTAGTTGCCATTAATTTTAAATGTAAGATAAATAATAATAAATAAATCTTTTAATAGTTTAAAATCACTGCAATCCCAAATCATTTTACTTTAAATAAGGTTGTGAAAGCACAGGATTGCATTTATGTTTTTAATTATGACTTGGTAGGTAATCACAAATTGAAATAATGATAAAGTCTTAATAAACATTATATTTTGTTGTTCCCATCTTTGTTAACGAAATGAAGTATGCGCGAACTTAGTTTTGTTGTGATTTGTTGCGCACGGCGATGAAAACAGTCATTTGGCCGCGGCTCGTCATCACCCGGCATAGCCGTGATCGTCTAGTGGTTAGGACCCCACGTTGTGGCCGTGGTAACCCAGGTTCGAATCCTGGTCACGGCAATGTTGAAACAAACATTGTCACGGAGTCGGGTTATTTTTTTTAACATATATTTTTTAATTTTTGTTAAATAAGTGGCAATATTTTTATAAGAGAATCTGTAGTTATAATCTATCATTATAAATTCAAAGCTAACTTTGAAGGTACTCTGATGTTGCTTTTATTGTAGATCTTGTAACTGCAATTACTTTTGTTGATTGCAATTCTTTTTGTTAACCAAAGTAGGCTAATAGGTGACCAGCTCGGTTTTTGGAAAGCCCATTTCAACAACCCGACGTAGCCGTGATCGTCTAGTGGTTAGGACCCCACGTTGTGGCCGTGGTAACCCAGGTTCGAATCCTGGTCACGGCAATGTTGAAACAAACATTGTCACGGAGTCGGGTAGATTATTTTGCTTTTAATCTAAAAAAGGCAGGCTTGAACTTTTTCAAATTAAGTACGTGTTGAGTTTTCGGGTTCATCAATAGAAATTTAATCTTGTAGATTTGTATTTAAGTGCGTTAAGCTTGGGTGTCAGATTTCTATTTTGCACATATTTACTTGCTTGGGGCACAGTTAAGTGAAACAGGTACATTTAAATGGATCTTTTAGATGGACATGAATTGTCACCAAGTCCGTTGCTTAAACGCTTGTATTTTATAAGGGTTTTGTTTCAAAATATCCAAGTCGATAACACATAGAGTTATATTTTCTGCCCATAACATCAATCCTTTTTACATTTAAGGATTCACATATTTCTGGATAAAATAAATGGATTTCTGATAAGCAAGCAACTTAAGTGGCTTAATGAGGAGTTGAAAGGAGGTACATGGAATTCTGCAGAATGAGATATTCCGCCTTCAGAAAATAGATGACCTATTGATTTAAGTACTGCTGTGTCCTGAAAACTAGAAGTGTTAACAAACTCGAATATAAAGAGAATTTTAAAAAATTTAAAGACTGGGTATATAATTTGTGTATTTTGGCAATTCGAAGAGGTGTATAATTTCTATATCCAGAATATTACATGTGAATGTAATAAAAATATTTTAAAAATATTCAATTAACGTACCCTTTTTAAAAAACTTTTTAACCAACACTAACTAATTGCCCGGTGCTGCCAGACTAAGTTATTAGGCAGGCTGGCAGCGCCAAGGCGAAACTGAGAAGCAAAGAAGACGCAACGACTATAAGATTGAGCGGAAAAAATCATTTCTGAGTGTTGTGTAATTTGATAACTCATCGAAATATCAGTTGGTAAATTCAAGTTATTTGCCTCCAAAAAGCCAAATAAATGATAGTACGCGAGGAGTGTCCAAAACAAGGACTAATAGCGAGGTCACGACATCGAGGGGAAGCCATTTTGCGTGGTGAGTGAATTGAGGGGCTCCACCCCCGCGCGCAGCCCACCCCCTCCCAGTGTGCCCACCCTCGAACAGCTACTCTTCCCTTTTTGTTTTGCTACGCACTTTCGCCGCCAACGACAAAAACAAATTTCATTTCTTGGGGAAAACAATACAAATCGCGAAATGTTTACTTTCGATTTAAATAAGATTATTTTACACTTAAAAAGCCTGCTTGAGTGACCAATTTCTGAAAGCTACGAAACCACAAAAGCAACAAATGCCGGCCGGCAAACGAAAGGGAAAGCAAAAGTAAATCGAAAACGTCATTCGTGCGTTGCCTTTGAAACGCAAGGTTGATTTACTTCACCGGAAAAGTTCTTTTCAGCGGAATTTTAACGCAGATTAGTCGTTAAAATGCTGCCCCAAGATAGGAAAATTCTAAGGTGACAGTCACCAGCTGGAATTACATAAATCTAGTCACAAATATACACGATTTAATAGCCGATACTCCGTTTTTCTTCCGTTTTAGGCAACATACACGCCAGAACCAGAACCAAAATCCGAATCCTCGGCGTCCGAGGTTTAACAACAACTACCACAGCAAGATGGGCAGCAACTCTAAGGCGGACCCCATCTCGCTGACCTTCCACGACTCCTGCCTGAGGATGTCCGATGTCCAGCTGCTCCATGGACCCCACTGGCTGAACGACCAGATCCTGAGCTTCTACTACGAGTACCTGTCGCACATGAAGTACAAGACGAACTCGGATCTGCACTTTATCGCCCCGGAGGTGACCCAGTGCATGAAGTACATGGATGACCAGGAGCTGGAGCAGCTCCTCGATCAGAGCCATGCCACCGGCAAGCCCTTCATCTTCTTCGCGCTGAATGACAACGAGAGCTTCGAGGCCGGTGGCACTCACTGGTCACTGTTGGTCTTCTCGCGACCGGAGAAGACCTTCTATCACTTTGACTCGTATGGGAACAACAACACGGGCAACTCCGTGGAGCTGATGAATAAGATCAAGGAGTTGCTGGGCGCACGCCAGGCCAAGTTCCGGCCAATGCGCTGCCTGCAGCAGGCGAATGGCTACGATTGCGGAATCCACGTCATCTGCATGACTGATCACATCGCTGACTATCTGAACAGGTACGAGGTGATCGACGGCCTGCCCGCTCTGCACATCGACACTGTCAAGGCCAAGCGCACGGAGCTGCTGAAGCTCATCCTGTCGCTGGGCGGCAAAGGATAGAGCCTGGCGGGGATGCCACGACTCCGCAGACTTCCGCCCACAGCCAAAATAGATTTAAGTGACCAAATTACGAATGTAACTCGTTGCCGGAGGTGGAGAGGAGGAGCCACCGGAAATATGTGAATACGATATCCTTGATATTGCTAATTTTAATTTGTTTAGTTTCCCCTTTGCCGAGTAAGAATGTTTATTTGAAGAGCAGTGCCTGGCACTAAAAAAGACATGAAAAAATCAACACAAATACGCCATTGCAGTAGGTGCGTCGGCATATCTTTAAGTTTGGTCTTTCAAATAAAGATTTGTTTATTCGCACAGCTCGTTGGATTCGAATTCAGCACTATAATCGCCCTGTTTGTTTGGTCAAGGGGCGGCTGTCGCCATTGGGATTACAAAACAAAACACCAGCACATCTTAGGTTGCAATTATTTATTGTAAATGCAAAACGGGAACGGATCCGCTTGGATCGTTGATTATATTACGGTTAAAAACACATACAAATATAGATAAATCCACATCGAAAATTGATATTACAACGAGGCACTGGAGTACATACAAGGAATACCAACTGACGCCAGGCGAATACTCGGGTGGGTGGGTTCTTGCACGGGAGTGGGTAATGATGGGTGGAGTCCAGGAGGTTTACCTGACCCGACTACTATCTAACAGCTAGCTAAGCTGCATACTCGCAGGTATGCAAATAATTCTGGCTGGCCTCAGAGCCGAACTTCGGGCCTTGCCCATCCCCCAAAGGCTCGCTCCAATTCCTCGGCCACGGCCAAACACAGACGATCCTGGTTGAAGTTGGCAATAACCTGGATTCCCAGCGGCAGACCCTCGCTGCCCAGTTTGCCCAATGGCACAGCGGTGGCCGGGAAGCCCAGCACATTTACAATACCCGTGTAGGCAAAGTTAATGGGTCGCGTAATGGGCTCGTTGTGATACGGAGCCACAGTCGGATGCGTCGGGTAGATCAGCACACCGTTATCGTTCAGCAGGCGCTGCAGCTCGTCCCTCAGCTCGTTCCGCTTGCGCACCAGGTGATCGTACTTGGGTGATCCGTGCTTGCACTGGGCTGAATCCATGATTGCCGTCGACAGGCCAATGAACGTGTGTTTGGAGGCACCAAAGAACCATTTGAAAAGCTCTAGGTACGTGTTGATATCATGATCCAGGTTGCCCAGCTGGTATGCGAATCCATGGCCACTGTCGTCGCGCATGTTGGCAAACCAGATGGCAGCCGATTGCCGGAACTGCGGCAGCTGGATGCGCTCCACTTTTTGACTGCCAAACTTCTCGCTTAAATGCTTCACCACTCGGTTCATGGCCTAAAGAAAGAAAATAATTTGAATAAACTATTTAAATAATTACAACTCTAATTCTCTTTACATCTCTCAAGTCAGGATCAACGGCGGATATAAGACGGCCACCGCCATCAGACTCCTGGTAGAAGAACTTCATTTTGGTCAGGTCCACATCCTCGTCCAGTTTGAGCAGGGCAGCCTTCTCGCCCGCCATAATCCTCAGCATAGGTCGCAAGTCCTCGGCGAAACGTGACATGGGTCCCAGGCCAAGGAAGGAGTTCTGCTCCGCACTGAAGGGCGCTGGGAACTGACCCACATTGGACACCACCAGCTTGCTGGGCTTGTGACCGAAGATGCCGTTGAAAAATGCGGGCATGCGAATGGAGCCGCCAATGTCGGAGCCCAGGCCAAAGGCGGAAGCAGCCGCAGACTGGATGCAGCCCTCGCCGCCACTGGAGCCGCCCACAATGCGATTCGTATCGTAGGCGTTCCTCGTCCTTCCGTGCACCGTGTTGTTGCTCTCCCACCACATGCACACCTCGGAAACATTCGTGAGGGCGAAGGGGATTGCTCCAGCCTTGCGCATCAGGGCCATTGCATCCGCATCCTGCGCACCACGCACATCCCGACGCTCATAAAGCCCAGCAGTGTGGAGCATGCCTTAAGAAAGGGATAGACTACGCATTAGTAATCTTTACAAGAAGTTAATGAGAGCTACGCACCTTTGACGGATATGCAGTCCTTAGTGGTGATGGGCACACCCAGGAAGGGTTTCTGCTTGGCCAGTTCCTCCACGCTGTATTGACCGGATTTGATCAGAGCATCAGCTTCGGCTGCTTCCTTTAAGGCCTGGTCATAGCGCTCATCCACCACACAGTTTAGTATGGGGTTCACCTCCTTAATGCGCCGAATGAAGGATTCCAGCACCTGGACGCTGCTCAGCTGAAAAAGGAAGAGTTTATTAAATATATTAATGGGAGAACTACTTTGTGCACTCACCTCCTGGTTGCGGATCTTCCTGGCCAGCGACGTGGCAGACTCCAGCAGAATGGGATCTGTGATTGGGGGAACACTCTCACCCTTGTGGCCATAGATTAGCCGGAACACAAAACGAATGCAGGCCTGGAGAAGGCCAAAGATGTATCCACCAATGGCCCGTGCCAATGGAACGCTCTGCGTCATTTCGACGGACTTAAGGAATGTGTTGCTGAGGAACCTCGACTACTTGGAATCAGAATTGGAATCGGTTGTATTCTTTTTTTTGCTCTGGCCCATGTGTGGTTGCTCTGGAAGATTTCATAGAGTGCAAAAATTACTTGGGTGCATTTAAAATTCTTGTAATATATCTGAACAAAGGAGAGGGCGTAAATAAATTGCGTTGTGGTGGCTACTTTTACTGGATTATCAGCGAGCTTATGCAAATATTTGCAATCTGTACCTCGGAAAAAAATAAAATTATTTCACAGCTCTGTAGAAATACATAAATGGGTCAGAGTATGTATACAAAAAAGCCTTTATAAATTGAGTACTTCCTAGGAAAAGTCTGGTTTCTGGGATTTATGGCACGTAATTCAGTCATTTACTTTGGCAATTACTTTTATGTGCAAAAATTCCATCAAATGCTATAAAAAAGATGGTTTCATTTATTTGAATCTTTTAATACCCTAATACGTGGGGAAAATAATAATATTGAAAAATAAATAAAACTGTTTTACCAGCCATCTATTAGTACTCCTAGCTATCGTCATATTTGTTTATGATATAGGGGTAATCGATTTGCTCGACACCAGACACATAATTTAATAGCCCTGCAATTAATTGGGGTGTCCCATTTAGGCCAAGTCCACACCTGTGTCTGACTCATAGATATTGTAGAAAAATTATGGAACATTCGCATCAGAGAACTTTGTTCCAATATGCATACATATGAGTAAGAAACCGCAAGCATTCTTCCGGATAATTAAAAAAATGTTCTCAAAATAAACAAAGCAATTCTAAAGTGCGCTAAAAGTTGGCAAATAGTAGAGAGAAAAACGTGTTTCTCTCTATGGCAAGGAAAAGCTAAGGCAAACTTACTGGCTTGCTCTACGGAAAAGGTTGTTTAAACAAACGACTTTACTGTTTGACTCGTTAACATTTCACTATTTACAAAAACGAACAAAGGAAATTTTTACAGCGGATAGATACGCAGCAATTAGAGATTATAGGTGAATATCTTGTTGAAATCGGTTAAATTTAATGATTTAGTGCCATATGTTCGGCCAGAATCAGGATTTTATTTATTATCTTATCACGGGTGCGTTTCAGACAGCTAATTCACTGCTTAAATATGAAAAGATAGTAAGCACAAAGAGAGGTCAGCGGACTATAGAGAGTGAATAGCCCATACGTCGATCCCCATGAACTTGCTCGAGTTTACTGGAAAGCCAGACCATAAACTATATCCACATCGGTTATATACTGAGTACTATTACTGATAACTAAAGTGAGTCATAGGTTCCAGTCGTTTATTTATGCCTGTCGTTTGCGATAAAAACAGAGCAATAATAAAAACTACATGGTATTGTACATTACGAATAGTGCTCAGTTAATAATAATTAGCGACAATTCAAAGTTCCCATTGCTTATTATATAGGGCTTATCACAACATATTGTCGGAGTTTGATTATTCCATATAACCGACTTCCAACATATCTCAGTTTTTTTTTCAGATTGCTAATTGAATTGCCAGACATTCGAATGCAAAGAGTGCATTATAATCAATTTCGCACTTGCAAATTGAGGGAGGGAGGCGAAGTCAGAGGGGGAGGTGACAATTTGTCTGTCCGTGACTTTGGATACGGGAACAATTTGAAAAAACGCCACCACAACCTTCAACGAAAATACAGATCACGCTATATGAAGTTCAAAACACTATTATAAAGCGGCAATTATAAAAAGTGGTTACTATAGACCAGAATTGTAAGAAAACAACCACATGACATTACAGCTTAATGGAAAAGTGTAGGAGTGTAATGTAGAAATTTAAAAAATAACAAAAAATGTAATCTGGGAGAAATGTTGTTAAAAAATATTTCATATTTAAAACAGATGTCCTTTTTGATTGCCTTTATAAAACTGAATCAAGGTTAAAATATCTTTTTCAGGTTCCGTGTTTAGTGGTTAGAAAAATATAATTTGGTTCTCGTAGCCAATTCTATTATTTATAGGTCATAAAAAACTATTGTAATTGATGTAGTCAAATCTAATGGAGAATATTTTCTTGGTGCAGTATAAATCTTTTCTATTCGAATCGCCAGCCAATGATGCGTCCAAGGTTCAAGGGGTAGTGATGCGAAACGATAATGGACCCGTAATCGGGGATTTAAGTGGTCAATCCGATAAGATTAGCCATAAATACTTGTCGCTAAGCTTGCGCTTTTGGCACAGTAGCCAAAATAATCAATTTTAAATTACAAGTCTCCACAACCTGTTGATCCCATTGGAGACTGTAGACTGGAGAGGGGAGGAGAACACTTATTACTAATTGCTTGCCACTTCTAATTGGGAAACAGACGAAGGGCTATTGATTTCCAAGTGGAGGGTGTGATATATGTACACAAAAGGTGGAAAAGCAAAGGCCAAGACCGGCGAAATGGTTTGTGAGTGTGGGAGGTAGGGGGTGGCGAGGGAAATCCCCGGGCGTGTGCCAGTGACATCATTTCACTATTTCCATTTCCAGCATATGCGTTGTTTGGATTGCAAATTCATCAAGTGTCATTTGACACTATATACATATGTATGTATATAGTACATATGTTTGTTTGCGTATGGCGCGAGTGAATGAAAAAAACAAAAACACTCTATCCTCTGACGTCACAAGATGCCGCAATAGTTGGGCCTGATTTCAATTAAAAACACACAATGGATTTGCAGCAGGAGTAAGGACAAAGCCATAATCGCACTTTGTTCAAGTTTAAATTACGAATAACCGGTTGGCGTAAGATTATTAGTGGTTACTGAGCATACTAGCATTCACAAAACAACACTTTTCCAGGGGAAAATACGTAAAATGGCACGAAATCCGATATGAACAGATACACACAACGCGTACAGGAAAGTTTTCCACAGCAATATAAAACAAACAATATTATCTACCCGCTAAACACAAAGTCTGTATGATCAGATGGGCGATTCGATTATAAATAGGGATGTGAAATGTATAAAAATATTTATATCGTGGTATTTTTTCACCTGACATATCGACACTATCGCTAAGTGTCAGCAAACGTAAGAGCCACCTAAGTGTCAGTAAAACGGAGACACAAGCCCCCTTTGTCTACGTTATGGATGTGTAAAATATATTAAAATATTAATATATCGATATTTTTTGAATGAAATAAATACTTATATCGTGATTTTTTACCGCAGGACCTATCGGTCCTCTTCTTCTTCTTCGATATCGAAAGGCGCTATTGAAATAATACCATACAAAAAATATACCAATACTGCAAAACTGCATCCGATGATCGATTTGATTCCGGAAACCAATACAAAGTTGGATAGAATCCAACGCAAGCAGCAGGTCATTCAGACCAAACTCCTGGAGGTAAACTTCATACTGAAGGACCAAGGGATCATCACTAAAAAAGAATTCGATAGGAAACTTCAATTGGGATTGAAGGAACTAACGAGTAAGGTAGAAGGAGAGCTTCAAGCCTTGCAGACCAAACTTCATACGCTGCTGACTCTTATCAAGGGTCCCAATTTCGAAAACATCCTGCCAAATTGGGAGATAATCAAAAATAATATTATGAATCAAGAAAGTTTGACCTTTGAAAGAATCGACATGAGATACTTCTACAAAGAAAATATTATTAGAAAAAGTTGTATTGAGGCTGCTAATACCTGTAGTAGAATGGGGAGTTATCTGGCTTCTATAAAAAATTATGAAGACCTACATGCAATTACAGCGAAACTGAAACCAGGTCTTAACTACTGGCTTGGAATAAACGATCGAGCAGGTTTGTAGCTGCTGCCACCGGTAATGACGCCCCTTTTTTGAAGTGGAAACGGAGAGAGCCCAGTAGTCGGGATGGAATTGAGCCCTGTGTGGTTCTACATAACGAAGAAATGAATGACTCTATTCCACATATTTCATTTGCCCATCAGATAACCGCCAAGGTACAATGTTCTTAGAGGAATGGAGATAAGATTGATTGTCTGTGTGCCTTTCCGACCTTTTTTAATTTGCCAAGCAACAATTAGACAAATGAATAACCTTTTTAATCCGAGCTTTTTGTGCCCATGCTATTCGGCTTAATATAAGACGTAGAAAGGATGTTTAATGTTTGATCTGTATAAATATTACATTTTAAAAGTAGCGGGTAAATAAACGGTTTAAAAAAAAAACTACATACATACCAGAAATACTTGTTTATCTGGTGCTGGGTATTTATTAGCCCCTTTTAGAAAACGGCAAACTGAACAGGGATGGCAACGCCGGTTCGATTCGAGTTGACGCTTTCAAAAATGTCATCCTGGAACATTTGCTGCCCAAAAAGGAACTGATAAGGAACAAAAAGTCGGGTAATAGGTAATATAAGGCTACAGAGATGAGCGCCAAAGAAAATCTGGCCCTGCAAATGGCGGAGCCGCAGCTGGCCAAGCTGACCAGCGATTCAAGGGAGATACGCTTGCGCGCCCTCGAGCAGATTGAGACGCGGTTCATCCGGTGCCTCCAGCTCGGCGAGCACGTCCAGTTCAAGCCTGTGCTGCTGTTGAAGCAGCTCATCCGGTGGTTCGGACACACGCCGCCCCTGGCCGCCGACCGAGTGCTGGCCATGATCTTGGAGCTGCTGCGTTCCGAATACAGCGAGGCGGTTATCCGCAAGATTCCCTACGACCGCCTGAAGACCGAACTGGAGAAGGTGCGTAACATACTGCGTGGTCTGGAGTCCACGCGCGTAAACGAGCTGCTGGACGATCTGCAGCTCCTGCTGCTCGAGAAGTACAAGATGGACCTGGTGACGCCGTGCGCTTCCAGCCTTAGTTCGATCAATCTCACCAGCCGGGGAAGCGATTCCGCCGCCAGCAGCGTGGAGCAGATGCAGGGCAATCTCTCGCCTGAGGACTACGAGCCCGCCTGGACGCGCCCCGCCCTGGACGATGTGGAAAGCATGACGAGCTTGATTGATTTGCCGCGCAATGACGCCACCGATGCCTTGGAACTGCAGGTGCAGCTTACGCATCTGATCATTCGGATGGGCGACTACCCAGCCGAGTACTTCCTGCAGTCGCCGTTTATATTTCTGCACCTGGTGCAGCTGCAAGCGAGGGAAGATGACAGCCTGCTGCACGTGAACCGGGCTCTCATTGCGTGCCTGAAGCAACTGCAGCGCCGCATCCAGGTGCGCCGTCGTACCATGTGCTATGCGACCAGTTTGGATCCACCTGGCTCGCGACCCAAGCAGCTGAAGGTGGGCAGCGCCCTGGGGCTCCTGCTTGCCAACTGCACTAAGCTAATCCAGCAGCTGCTCTTCCGATGCACAAGCGACAACTGGCACATCCTGGAGCTATGCGTGGAAGCTGTCCGGACATATGATGTTCTCAATTCCCGAGTTTGCCAACGGAGTACTGAGCGTTTCGCGCAGATTGTCAAGACGTTGCTTACGTTCTGCAACAATGTGGAGGGCAGTAACGTGACCAAGCTCGAGGATTCGCTGATGATTCCCCGACTTCAATCGCTGATCTTCAACGGCCTGCTGCAAGACACGGTAGCCCTGAATCTCACTTATGATAAACACTTGGATCGAATCAATGCCAAATCGCTTATCCAGCCCATCATTTTGGACAGCTCCTACCTGTCTTGCGTGCCCGATCGCATGAAGTCGCTGAGCAATCTGATTTGTGCCCTGACCTCAGAGCCCTCGGCCGAGGAGCAACAGTTGATAAAGCTGAAGCGGGCCTACAGCCTGGCCCTAAATCAATTCGAGCCGAAGACTAAAATGGGACCGGCGCAGCTTATTCAAATGCACAAGCAGGTGTGCCTGGTTGTCACCCAACTGGGCAGTGAGACGCTGGTGAAACAGCTCTTCGACGCAATTGTGGAGTGCACACCCCTCTACAAGGGTAATTCGCAGTTGAGAAAGGATGCGGAGGCGCTGCTGTACACCCTGCTTGATTTGCCTGACCAAAAACTGCGTGGTTTCTTATACCGTTTGATGCCACCACCCGTGGTGTCCCACTTCCATTCCTTTTTAAACAGGACGAACTACATGACAGGCTGCACGAATTTGGGGCTGGTTCGCCAGCAGATCCTTGGATTGCCGCTTAACACCCAGATATTGCGCAGGCTGATCGTCGAAAGTTGGGACGCTGATACCTCGGAACAGGTTCGACAGTGGTGCCTGGACTATCCCACAATGCTCCTCAAGTTAAACTCAATGCTCAGTGCGCAGGACTTTAATATTATGTTCGATGTTGTGCTTCCTGTGCTGCCCCTGCTGATCTGTAGGTCGATTATTCACAAGCAATTGAGTAAGGTTGTGTGGCATTTGTTTGAGCCAGACTACAGCGGAGTGGAGGCGCCCTTGATGCTGCGGGGCTACGTTTACTATATGTTCCATCCGTTTTCTGAGATGAGAAGCGAAGCTACTACCAGAATCGCCTACGTTCTGCAATGTCAAGACTACACGAACAAATATAAGCCAACCATGGACAAGATTCCGATTGAGCTGATCGGCAATAATATCTGCGTGATCCAACCACCAGCTAGCTACAAAAGCATATTTACTCCATGTTCTGAGGAATCCTTTCAAGGTCAGCGCAGCTTGGATGCCTTGATCCGATTGCTTCAAACAAAAGACTTAAGGCCTACCATCAGGAAGTCCACAATCACTCAATTGAATGTGTTGCTTCAAAGCTGGAAAGCTTGCGAAGACTTCTCTACGAAGGAGGATGGATATCGGCTAGTACTGGAGTCTTTGCACAACGCTTTGAAGAAAGAGAGTGCCAACGATCCCGCAGATATCCTGGTGCCCGCCGTGGGTATTCTCATGAAGCTGCTGTTTCACAATGCTGGATTCCGTAAAGAGATCGCAAGCACTTTTGAGGTGTACGTGTGCCTGCTGCGCGCTTTATTCATACTTCCCCATGAGGCTCAATTGCGCCAGGATGTGAGTCTCTGCCTGTTCCAGATGCTGTACCACAATTTTATTACCTCCACTGAGGACAAGCTAGTGATGGACATAGATCTGGGTTCGATGCTTTTGCCTGTGACATACGAAGTTGAAGCCACGGAGATACCCACTGCGGCGTTAGAAGGATTGGCCTTGCAACAAGAACTGCAGGATTCCCATTTCGGAGGTGATAAAACTAGAGCTGCCCAGCATTGGCGACTGTATACGGCCCACCGCGTTTGCCAGTGTCCATCCAGCATCACTTTGGAGTCTGTCCGGGAGCTGGACATCAGGGAGACTCTTAAGATAAAAGTTGCTGACTTGGCCTTGTTGCGAGCCTCCAACGTGGACTTGCAGCTTGGTAACCAGCTCACCGCAGCCAGTAACTGCAGCAATCACGAGGATCTGCAACATATTGTGACACTTGTTCAGCTATTCCTTGTGCTCCTGCGCAGCACGATCAGTCAGTCGGTGGGCGAAAGCTTGTGGAAGTTGATCCACAAGTATATCCGCTTGGCCCCGGGCAACGACGCGGATCGAGAGCTTTACAAGTACCTGCTAGAACTGTGCCTCACTTGCCTGCGCTTCTGTCAGCCTCAGGTGAAGAGCGGACTGAGCGAAGCTCTCGAAACGGATCATCATCACAGCTTCCACCTTATGCTGCACGATCGCCTCATTCCTCTTGAAACGCTGCACTTGATTAGCCAATGTCTAATGCACCTACTCTCCAACGAGTGTTTTGATGTAAAGATGAACTGGCATGGAAAGTTCTTTATGCAGTTAAGTAAGGTGGCCAGAACGCACTTTGAGTTGCGCCAGCTTCAGCATGTACGCTGCATCCTCCGCATCCTGCGGCGTCTTAGCGAGCGGGATCTAAAGTTCAGTGATGTTCAGTTGACGGTGAGTACTGAAAGTAATTGATTTAATTTATTTATTAAGTTCTAACTTTGCATTTTCGACCGCAGTTCTATTGTCAGCAGTTCATCCAGTTGTCCAGCGATTTGAGGACC